AATTATGCATCTATTAATGTGCAACAACATAAGAAGCAAAATAAAGAAGTTGGAGATTAACCCAGGGTATAACGCCTTCTTTATATTTGGGGTGTTAATTTAATATTAAAAGTTATCAATACAGAGATGATGATAGTTGCAATAACTTCAGATGAGGTTTATCCTAGTTATGATTAATTTCTCTGTATTTTCACCTCTACAGACTGTCATTTGATCCAACGATTGAAAGTTTTTTTTAACATTGTCTTAAAGGTCTATCAGTACTTTTTTTGTGGTGAAAAAAAAAAAAAAATCACAAAAATACTGAACGCTGAGGAAAAGTCAAAACAGAAAGTCCCTAATCAAATGGCAAAATCAAAAGATAATGAGTAAATGCATTTTTTTTTGGTTCTTCGTTAAAAAAAAAAGATGTCATTTAAATTAAAATTTCAGATTTATAATGAAAGTTTTCCTAAGACATTTAAATTAAAATTTAAGATTTATAGTGAAATAATAATTTTCCTAAAATTTTTACATTTTCAAAGCATTGTAGTTGTCAGATTATAGAATAACATAGTACTTGAAATTGATTTAAACTCGTAGTCTAGTGCATGCAAAGTTCGGAAGCAAAACATTATTTATCTTCAGAGTTTTGGTGTAGACTTTAACAAATATCAAATGATCATTTCAGAAATACATTATGCTTGGAGCGCTGCGTGTCTTTACTAACATATAACAAAGTTGCTTATTGGTGTTTAAGTTAAGTAGAGTTGGTTATATCTTCTGTTTGTTTCAGTTGTTCTTTGGATGGTTCTTTGGTTTTGAGGTATTTAGGGTGTGGTGTTTACCATTCGAAGGAATCTATATATGTAATTCTGAAATGAAAAATATTTGATATTTCTAGTCATAAAAAAAAATAATCAAATGTTTGAGCATAAAGCTGCTTTGAACTTTGAATCTGTACGATTTTCATACTTTCTTTAATTTCTTATTTTCAAAATTGAAAATGAATATCTTCAATCAAAATCAAAATCTAAATTGTATTTGACATATTATGATGAAATGGAAAACTAGATAACATATTCTCATAAACTAAGTTGAATTCAGGGGAAGTGGAAAATGATCCCAAAAGTTTTTTAGATATACTTTGTCTTCTTCAAAATTGTTTTTGGGTATCTACATCTTTAAAGCACTGATCGCTATTAAGACAATAAAGAAGTAAAAATACATTTTTATAACAATCAAGCCATAACGAAAATTCTGCCATACAAAAAAGAATTTGGATGTTTAATCTACATTTATTATAGAGTTATAAACATAATCGCAAAGGTTATTAATTCTTACATGACTGAAAGCTTGTACAAGTCTTAATATTTGGTGAACAATAATAAATTTCTATGATATATATATTATTATCACTATTTTACTGAATTTTCCTTTGATCTTACCGATAATTTCTTTTCTCAGCATAGTAGAAAGATATGGAAAGTATCTCTAAAAACTAAGGCTGCACATGCCATTGTCAATGTAAATTTCAAGGTCGTCATAAGCAAAATAGCGATAAACAGATTATCATTGGTCATCTCAACTTTATTGTTTTTCTCACTTTCGCGGTACTGGCTCAAGGGAGAAAATCAATCTCGTTGAGATGACCAACGAAATTTATAATGATTTCCAATACCCTAAAAACTTCATTTTGAGTTATCTGAAACTATCATCATCTCCAAGTGAAGAGTTATCTAACTTATCAATCCCGATATCTTACAGTAGTTATCTCCCTTTGCTTCAAACTTCTGAACCTTGGGTTAATTTTCAACTCTCACCTTCAACACTAGGTTACCATCCACAGATTCCAGACATTTAATGATAACTTCATTATTATGAGACCATGATTGACAAACTGGTATTGATGTTTTAGTCCCATTTAACAATTGCTCATCGTAATTTGTAAAATTAAATTGTCTTGAGTTTAAGCATTTCTTTTTAAAAATTTCCTGTTTAATAGAAAATTAATCTTTTTAACTTCCCAAGCCATTCTGTGATCAATATATTAAAGGATAATTTTGTCCAGCTTCTTGAAACAATTTTTCTTTTTTGCAATCAAAAGTATTGACAGTGAGCAGGATCATTTCAAGATCACAAAAAAGGAGATGAAAACTGGTCTATTTTATTCCATTTATCATGTGTACATGAAAAGGAGTAGATTGTACAACACAAAAATTTTAAATTTCAAATCATAAGTTTGTTGAAATATAGCTCATTTTATACAATTTAGATCTTTTATTGAAAAAGGTGTTAGACTGATCTTAACCCTATCATACCGTTTGAATTACAACATAAATTGATTTGCTCCTTGGTATCAAACCATTCTATCTTTTTCAAATTTGGTAATTACAATATAGGTAAAGCACTTGCCATCATAAAATACTTTAAAAAAATAAAATAAGTAAAACCCAATTATCAATAACTGACTGCAGCTATTCTTCATTGGATCCTCTTTGAAACTCATGGCCAGACAAAGAGTAATCTAAGAGCTTGACTCTTTAACAGGGATCCAACTTTAGCCTCATTAGTTCAAAGGAGTTTTCCATTAGTCCATAATAATTAAGAAATAATTGTTGCAAGCTATACTTTATTGTAGTTTTAACATGGGTAGGCATTATATACGTGATTATTTTTGCCTGAGCGATAGCATACAATCAGTTCTGTTAACAAAGCAGTTTTAGAGTTATATTAGACCCTGTTTCAGACTTTGGGGATTTAATCACTAAAAAAGTTAAAGATAACCAGACTATTTTAGATTTAACTGGTAATCTGTTTTCCTTTCCCTGGTAGCAAAAAAGAGCTGATTTCTGTAAGTCTGTATATTGGCTGCTTCTGGTTCTTATCCATTTAAGGAACCAATGATTCCGGAGAGTGCAGTAACCTTGCCTCAGTCCATTATTGTCAAGATATCAGTGATTTTCCTTTTTTTCTCACAAAAGTCATTGGAAGTAATCTTACATAAAACAAATTTTGATATAACCAATCAAAAATGCTATCATAAATAATCTGGGAACAAATAATTTTACTTTTTCAATTGTAAATTTTGCTACAATTTTTCTTTCAAGTATAAAACTAAAGTAAAAAGTAAAAATCTATTTTATTGAAGTATTACGTGCCATTTGAGTTTTGAAATTAATTTAAATTATAAAGTATTGAAATTAATTTTTATTATAAAGAATCAGTATATCATTTCTTTGAGTTCTTAATTTTTTCTTTCTAAATTTTTTTATTAAATCTAAAGATTTCATACTTGATACATGTAATATCATTTTGCATCATATTTGTATTTTTTCATTTCAGCTTCTTTTTCTTGTACCACTGAAACTTCACAGAATAATTGCGTACATTTTGAAGTTGTGTACCTGCTTATATGAAATTGTTTGAGGAATTTCCCCCATTTTTCCCTTAATTCTGATCTTGATGATTGTTTTCCAAAATTTTCAAAGATGGTACTGATTTTGTGTAATCAACTCCTGCAGTTTTCAATCTCAATCTTTTTAACTTCAAACAATGATTGTACAAATATTTAAGTTGTCCACTTGGTACTATGGAATTGTTTGATAATTTTTTTCCTGACGGGAATTAAGTAATTTTTCATCAATGATAAAATAAATAGTTTTTAACCCATATCTTTTGGAATTCACAGAGAGTTTGCAAATCTATAGAGGCTTTTACAAATTTTGGGACTATACATGACTACTATGTACATGAGTAGTAAACCTTGAAAATGAGATATTTTTGATTAAACTATGCTTCAAAACATTTAAAAAATGTTGATTTATATGTGTTTATTATACTATTACTACACTGTACTTTTTTTCTTACATTTGTATAAGTATTTTCATATCAGATGTCTGGTAACTTATATAAAAGCTATTATCTAGAGCTCTGTAAATAAAAAAAAAAGTAAACATAGTTCTAAAATATACTTTTAATGAGTGGAAGAAATTGTGGGGTACAGAATACATTTCGTAAATTATCAAAATACAATTTACCTGTTTAAAAGCATGTCTGGTATTTTTACAGTACTTTTTAAATGAATTTAATAAATTATTTGTATTTTAAATTGAGAATTTCTTCAGTTTCCATGATTGGAAAAATAATGTGAGATGCCTTGGAACATTCTGGTGACTATTGTACATTTTATAATGTACAATGGAAAGGACATTTCATTACTTAGATAAAATGGATTCAGTGGACTGATTAGCATAAAAAACTATGATGGAAAACCTTTGAAAGCAGCCAGGATAGCAGCTCCAAGGAAGATGGTCAAATAAATCTTCAACCAAGTCTGAGGCTTTACCAAGAAATTAAGAAGGCAAGTTTATTTAAGCCAAATATTTGTATACATTTTCTAGAAATATTCGACAAGAAGTGCATATAAAGACAACACGCCAGCACCCTTCTGATCTTCTGCATGCAAAACACCATTGATGTATTAATTTTAATAAGTTTTATTATTTAAGTTACCATTTTCTTGAACAAGATTTTCGATCAAAATATTTAAAACTTCAAGGGGAGACAAGTACAATTAACAGCAAAATTTGTTCTTTCAATGGGATATAACTGATAAATTTGCACATCACTTTTGTGCAGTTAAATTCCAAACAAAAACCTTTGACTTGTTTTATTTTTATTATGTCAAGTTTTCTGTTTAGTCAGGTTAAAAGTTACTCCTTGCTATAGATCAATGACATTTTGTATTTATTTGCATTACTAACAAATTATCGAATTAATTAGCAATGTTGCTTATCATCAGATGTTTTTCATTTTCCGCTGCTAGGCGAGACATCTCTGTCAACAGTTTATCTTACAAACTTGTGTTGATACTATTGTGTACATTTTGTAAGAAATCAGAACATTATATAGTGACCTCATATTTATAGAGAAATGGATTTGTAAAATATATAATGTGTCTTTTTTAATTCTTTTTAGGTTCTTCTGTGATATGTTTTCATGGTGTGGGAATAAGACTCGGTGGTCTTATACAGCTAATACGAAGGTATGTACCAGTATGTTAGTCCTGTTTTGAAAAAAAGAAAAAGTATTATAAAATGTATTTGGAAATAGCATGTGCTCTAAGCGTGAAGGTTTGTAGGAGTTTGGTAAGAAGTCTTTGCTTTCTTTAATTGCCTTTAAAGGAGTAAATTTAATTATCTGATTTGATTATGTAAAAGTTTGTTGGGATGCTGGTTTGCTGTTCTCAACTTCTAATACATATTTATAGACTTTTATTTAATTTGCCACTGGACATTTAGCAACCAACAACCAAATGAATCAATCATTCAAAATATGGAATATACATACAGTATATCAAAAATGATCCTTTTAAACAATCTTGAATGACTAATCATTTTATTTTTCAGGTTAGCATCACAGCTTGTCTGTAAAGATTGAAGCTGGGAGTGGGCATTGGAGCTGACTTTTATGGTAAGAACCAATACAAAAAAAACAATATGTAAAAAAAGAAATATGTTAGACATCTACCATTGACTTGTTTTTCATCCTTTTAAGCTAATAAAGACTGGTAGTTCAAAAAATATATCAGCAAATCACTTTTAAACAAAGTAAGAGAAAGGTTTTATGAATCATGATTATAATGACCAGTTATTTATGGCCACAGACCACAATTAAATTCTCTATTAGTTCTTTATAACGTTTTGTTTCATTAAAAAAAATGCACCGGTTCTTTTTGTCAAATATTTTGTGTGTGTAAAGTACAGTACTAGTCCAAACATATATCAAACATTCAGAAATATCGCTCCCCAGCATCTTACAAATTTAGCTAATACACATCCATACCCCTATGGACAAGTCAAGAGATGTTCCGAAAACTGTAAATATCACCTTTTTGCACCTGGCCTAATCACTCTTTCCATATCAAAATCAGTTAAAATACAACATCCAAAAGTTTATTTCACCTCTCTCCTTTCATTTCCATCCAAAAAAATCTAAGAAATGAGTGAGGAAGGGAAAGAAAAAAAATTAAGAAAAAATACACTCTAATCAAAAGGAACTATATTCGTGGACAACGAAAAGCGGGATCATTAATTGTGGTCTTTGGCCTATTAGGGGTCTAAACCTTGACCAATTCTAATAAAACTTGGCATGATTTAAGCTTAGTGTATTATGAAACAGTTTACAAAGTTTCAAAGCCATATGATACCAATTATAAAAATTGTGGCATTTTTTATATCTGAACTTTGGGTGCTGAATTGTGGCGTTGAATTAGAATAATTTCAACTATCAAATTTGGGCTTCTAAAAACCAAAATATACCAAAACTTACACTTTTTAATGTCTCTATGTATAAGTTATCACCTATTAAAAGCAACAGATAGCATACTTCATGTTTCAGACTTATAAAAAATGGCCAGAAGTAAATTTCATATGGGCCTGTGCCAAAAAATAGAGGTTTTCAAATGAAGTGAGGCCTTATATGAAATGTAATATTTTTCACTTACCACAATTTTCTGAAGTTGCTAAGTTATAAAAAAACCTTTTACATGTTATAAATGTACTTTTAATGGAAATATAAGTTTCAAATAGCATAACACATGTGAATAAAATGGTCTTCAGCAATGTCAAGCTTAAAAAAACAGGTTGTCAATTTAGGTCGTTCCCCACATTTGCATATTAAAAAGCATATAAATGATATGGGAGATGGAGATATGTTTCTTTTTGCTCAAATCTTTGCTCAGATATGATAAAACATGGAGCCTGGATGTAAAAAGACTGTCACTTTCAACTATATATGTAGACAGTATGATCTGATGCAAAGTTATTTACTTTACTTTTTAAAACCGGCATGAAATTTCAGCCTCAAAAGACCAATATTTTAACCACTAGCTATCAAACAAAAGAAAATAAAGGTAGTCTGTGAAACAGACAAGGTCAAACAACCAGTAATAAGTGCTTTTGATACAGATTCAGTGAAATCTGCTAAAAGGAATTCAACTTGTATGTGCATAGAACCTCATTTTTCACTTGCTTCATACTGACCGTTAGACTAGGACCATTAAAGCAGCACATTTTGCACTCTTATTCTGATTTTATCTACTTTTTTTGTATGTTTAGTGTTCAAAAATGAGTTAAACATCTACATTAGATACCACAAACACAAGTAGAAAATCAGAAAAACCTGTCAGAGAGAAAGTAACCATGCTACTTTTGTAAAAATATTGAAACAACTGAAAAAGTTCAATTTTGGGCATGTAGGCTGAAATGTCACTTTTTTACAAAATTTCTATCAAATAAAAGTGGAAATCATTTATTCTCATGTAGTTTGACAAATTAATACCAATAGATCATTCAGGGAAGTTGTCAAAGTACAAATTCAATATTTCCTGAATTTCACCTCTTAGGCCACAGACCACAATTAAATTCTCTATTAGTTCTTTATAACGTTTTGTTTCATTAAAAAAAATGCACCGGTTCTTTTTGTCAAATATTTTGTGTGTGTAAAGTACAGTACTAGTCCAAACATATATCAAACATTCAGAAATATCGCTCCCCAGCATCTTACAAATTTAGCTAATACACATCCATACCCCTATGGACAAGTCAAGAGATGTTCCGAAAACTGTAAATATCACCTTTTTGCACCTGGCCTAATCACTCTTTCCATATCAAAATCAGTTAAAATACAACATCCAAAAGTTTATTTCACCTCTCTCCTTTCATTTCCATCCAAAAAAATCTAAGAAATGAGTGAGGAAGGGAAAGAAAAAAAATTAAGAAAAAATACACTCTAATCAAAAGGAACTATATTCGTGGACAACGAAAAGCGGGATCATTAATTGTGGTCTTTGGCCTTATTATTTTGCATTTGATATTGTTTCAATTTTCAGATTTTGACAATTACGATTAATTCTGTATATTTCTTTTTTAGGTAACTCTGGCTGCATAAAAGGGCTATGTGATTTTACTGTAACAGTAAAGAATGTAATTCAGACTATTTTTGTGTATGTTTGAGAAAATGTTTATAATTTTTACAAAAAGAAAAAAAAAATTATGTACAGGTTCTCCATTTTCAACAAGATTGGAAGATGTAGGTTAATAGGTCTTTGAAATTTCAAAAATTACTTTCTATTTTCTGTTCATACTCATGTCTAGGCAAAACACTTCCAGTAGTTTAAGAATGGAGAATCTAAAAAAAAGAAAAAGAAAAAAATGTTCAATTATTGAAATGTATTTTATTTTTGCAAATTGTAATATATTTTTTCACCTTTGTGTCATTTTTAGCTGAGTTTATAACAAAGGGTATATTATTTTAAGAATATTTTACAAGAAGCATAGTTGAAGAATATCTTGATGAAAGTAGATTGATTGATTTTTGGTATTTAACACCACTTTCAGCATGATTTGCTATATCTTGGCTGCCAGTTTTTATTTGTGGAGACAGCCTGGTGAAAACATCCCCTTCAACAGAGAAACTGGCAACTCTAGTCAATTAAGATTGACCTTAAACACACCTACAATGTGAGGGTTCAGAGTGTTGACAGGCTAGTGATACAGTAGTTGAACTACTTTGACCATTACTCCATCCACACTAAATATGTTATTGAAATATGTTGAATTTTTGTAATTTAATTTCTTTCTTTTTTTTGATTACCGGTATACTATTTATGTTTTTTTTGTTATATATAACAAAGATGTGGAGTTCTAACAGGGTGAAATTTAGGTCAAAGGGAGGTAATTTATTATACTGTGTTTAACTTTAAATACTTGAAATTCCCTCAATGTTAGATTTTTATTTACTTGGATACTCACATTTATGCACTTTTTTTACATATCAGATGTTTTCTAGATAATAGAAATTTAGGGTGGGAAAAATTGTGTCACTTAAAATAATTACGTGAAATTTTTCAAAAAGTTTATTAATTGAAAGTGCATCTGATATTTTTTATGTATGTTACTTTATTTTCTAAAAACAAATGGACACAACATAGATTGACAATAAGATTTTGAGAAGAACCACCTTGTCAGCCAGGATAGCAGCTCTTAGGAAGATGGTCAATCAAATCTTCAACCAAGTCTGACTCTTTACCATGAAAATAGAAAAGGCAAGTTTATTTTAGCCAGATCTTTTAAGATAACAGACCCTTCTGAAATATTGCATTTAAAACACCATTGATGAATTAATTTACCAGTTTAGTATTTAAAGATACAAGATACATGAACAAGATTTTCTATTAAAATATCACTAGTAAATCCTAAAAATAGTCATTAAACTTCAAGAAAAGACCAGTAAAATTTAAGACACGATTTTGCATTCAGTGGGAGATAACTTTGTAAAATATTCAGATATTTTTTGTGCAGTTAAATTTAAATCTGACGTTTTTTTTCTTTTCTATCTTTTATATTGATTTAAAAAAAAAATGATTTTATACAATTGTCTACCTGCAATAAGAAATCAGAACAATATTTAGTAAATTTATCAGTAACACATAAACTGATTTACAAAATGTATAATGTGTTGATTATAATTTCATTTCAGGTTCTTTCTGATACATGTTTTCATGGTGTGGGTATAAGACTTGGTGGTCTTATACAGCTAATACAAAGGTATGTACCAGTATGTTAGTCCTGTTTTGGAAAACTCAAATGTATGTATTATAAATATTTTATGGAAAAACAAGATTTGAACGCTTAAAAGATTTTTTTACAGGAATCTACTCTTATTATTATATCAGTAACCAAATAAGAGTAAAGTTAAGGATCTGAATTGTTTACATAAAAATGTGTTGGCTTATTGGATTGCTGTCTCATCCATATGTTCTTGGCATATATAACACATTTTAAGACTATTTCTATTTAATGATTTGCCACTGGACCTTAAGCAACCAACAACCAATCATTCAATCTATTCAATATACATACATAATACCAACAAAGAACCTTTTAAACAGTTTTTATACGCCCGTTTACGGGACGTATTATGGTATACCATTGTCCGTCGTCAACATGTCGGACATTAACTCAAAATTGCTTTAACCAATTTGCATAAAACTTTGGTGACTTGTTTATATCTATTGACTTGAGCTCCCTTTCGTTTTTTATAAATTTTAGATTTTACGTTTCCAAGTTATGGGGTTTTATTCATTAAAAAAAGGGGGTTTTCCAGTTTTCGGACAATAACTCAAGAATGCTTTCACCAACTTGCAAGAAATTGTGGTGAATTGTTTATATCTATTGACATGAGCTCCCTTTAGATTTTTATAAATTTTAGATTTTACGTTTCCAAGTTACAGGGTTTTATTAATGAATTATCATTTTATATTTCAGGTTAGCATCACAGCTTGTCTGTAAGGATTGAAGCTGGGAGTGGGCATTGGAGCTGACTTTTATGGTAAGAATCAATACATAGATTTATGAACTTTTCATCCAAGAGCATTATAAAGCCCAAGATTTTTGTTAGGCACAGATGTAAATCTTACATATTAATATCTTCTTTACTTATAGTTGAATAAACAATTTAGAAGGAGATATAAAGATATATAAGGGAAGTCAAAAAGTATAATGTATAATGCGAAATCTTGGGATTTCAGTTTTTTTGTTATCTATAGTTGTCCCCATATATGAAAATATGTAAGTGTGGTATGTATGCCAATGAGACAGCTATCAACCAGAGACCAAATGATGTGGATGCAACTAAATGTCATCCTATGCCTTCAACAATGAGCAAAACCTATATTGTATAGTTAGCTATAAAGGTTCAACATGACTAAATGTTAAAAAATTCAATCAAGTATGATAATAGCCTGATATACTATATATAGCTATAAAACAATGTTAAAAAGATATTTGTCAAGACATCAGCCAATGACTTGTTTTTCATCCTTTTATTGCTAAGAAATACTGGTACTTTAAAATTTATGTCAACAAATCACTTTATAACAATAAAAAAGAAATGTTCTATACATTATAATTGTAATGCTCAGTTAATTATAATTGTTTTGCATTAAATATTATTTCAATGTTCATGAGTAATGTATATTTCCTTTTCAGATAACTGTGGCTGCATAAAATGGTTGTGTGATATAACTGCAACAGTAAAGAATGTAATTCAGACTATTTTTGTGTATGCTTGAGAAAATGTTTATAATTTTTTTACAAAAAAAAAAAAAAAAAATATGTAAAGATTCTCCATTTTCAACAAGATTGGAAGTTGTAGGTTAACTTGTATTTGACATTACAAAAATTCTTTCTATTTTCCATTTATACTCATGTCTAGTCAAAACACTTCCAGCAGTTTAAGAATGGATAATCTAAAAGAAAAAGAAAGAAAAAAGAAAAAAAAAAGTTCAATTATTGAAATGTATTTTTTTTTGCAAATTGTAATGTATATATTTTTGCCATCTTTTTGTTATTTTAGGATTTGAGATACTTTCAAATTTTACAAGTTACTTTATACATGTAGTTAATGCAATTAAATCTGCCGATGTGAATATTCCCACTAAATATCTTGGCAAAAATTTTAATTATTTTTGTTTTTTTTAGTAACGTTTCAAAATACCTTACCATAGCAAATGCCTCTCTAGTGTAAACTAAAAAGATGAATAATGGTCTGCAGTAAATATATCCCCTTACAACCTTTTCTTTCATGTTAATTTTAATATCTTTAAGATATGTGACAAGGGTGCTCTAATGCAGAGGAATTTACGAAGTTAAGAAGTTAGAAATATATTTTTGCACTTTTTTTGTCATTTTTAGCTGATTTTGGTTTGTAACTAAGGTGATATTTTTTAAAGAATAATTTTACAAAAGGCATAGTTGAAGAACATCTTGTTGAAATTGGATTGGTTGATTTTTGGTGTTAAACACCACTTTAACATGATTTACTATAATTTTGGCTGTAAATTTTTATTTGTGGAGACAGCCAGAGTGCCTGGTGAAAACATCACCTTCATCAGGGAAAGGGCAAACCCTAGTCAAATTAAGAATGAAGTTACACATTTCATGTGAGGGTTCTCAGTGTTGACAGGCTAGTGATACAGTAGTTGAACTACTTATAGGACCACTCTGCCACCATAAGTCGATCAGTACGAAATATTTTATTGAAATGTGTTAGATTTTTGTTATCAATCTATTTTTTAATTTTAATTGTACTATTTTATTTATTTTGTTTAATATAACAAGGATGTGGAGTCCGAACAGGGTGAAATTTGGGTCAAAGGGAGGCAATTTATTATACCCCTGTTTAACTCCACATACTTGAATTTCCCTCAATGTTAGGATTTTCATCTACTTGGATATTCATGTTTGTACATTTTTTTTTAATATCAGATGTATACTAGCTAATATTGACTATTATTTAGAGCTCTGTAATAAAAAAAAAATGTAAGCAGAGCTCTAGATAATAAGTATGCAGGGTGGGAGAAATCTTGGGTCATTAACAATTGATTTGCTGGAATTTTCAAGAAAGGGGATTTATTGGAAATGCATCTGATATATTTAATGTATAAAACTATATTTAAAAATAAAAGATGTTAAGATGATGAGGAGAGCCACCTTGTCAGCCGGGAGAGCAGCTCTAAGGGAGATGGTCAATTTAATCTTCACCAAGTCTGAGGCTTTACCATGAAAAATATGTGGTAAGTTTATATATTCTACAAATTTTATGGTAATAATATATATATAGGCATTTAACATTATTTTTTAAGGGTTCTTTTCTATCAGTGTTTGATTTTTAGAGTATCTAGTCTTACATTTGTTTTCTGTCTGGTATCGAGTGAGCTGTGTTGGATAGAAACCAACTGTATGCAAGTTATTATCAATGAATTTGTAAACTTATTTGGGTCGAACAAATTTTTATGCAAAGTCTGTAACTGTTTGAATATTGAATTGATATAGAATCATTTTCATAAAAGCGTGGACAAGACGATTTCTTGGCGCTCTTATGTTATCTATTGACTAGGTCAGATAAGGTGAAAGTTTGTCTGTAACGCCCACTTGTCACATTGAATGTGTTATAGACATTTAAACGGGGGTCGCCAAAGGTTCTAAATGCCTACATCAAATAGTACGAATTACTAGCAGAGGACTAAACCATGTGTGTTGATTTAAATGTTGAATAATTATTTTCTTTTTTTCTTCTCTTGTGCCTACATGAACTTTGCTCTTTTATTCTATTTAAATCCCTATTGGAAGGCCTCTGACAGACTGAGTGAGCGTAAAATCACTGTTATCGATAGCCAATGGCAAACAAGTTAAAGGTACTGTAAATTCAGAAATTATTGCGTGCAATTATTAATAAATAAATTTGGTGTATTTACTGTCTTCTGATGGTTAAAAGTATTACTTTTATTTTCAATGTTGTCAATTTTTATGGCGACACGCCCCCTCTGACGTTGTATATTCATACGCCAACATCCGTGTACGTTGTTATGGTTAATATAAATAATATAAATAGTTCTTTGAGCCTTATTTTTGATAGAAATTTATTTATAATGAATGGCTATAATTTATTTTGAATTTATTGAACCATAAAATTAATTTTTGACGCTTCACATTTTACATAATCCGCTTCGCGGATTATTCAATGTGAAGAGTCAAAAATTAATTTTATGGTTCAATAAATTCAAACTAAATAACCATTCATTAATTTCTATTTTGTAATTTTAGACTAAAATGCGATTTTAATTTTTGCGATATTGAGAAAAATCCTGTTTAATTCATATAAAAAATTTCAAAATGCTAGTTTAAATTATTGCCAATACAACCATGTTGCATTTTTCGCAATAATAAAAACATTGCAATAGTTTCTGAATTTACAGTAATTGAGTTAGTATTATTACCAACATAAGTATTGGGGTTGTCTACGCTGTTATGAAAATGATTTTAAGAACCATCAAAAGAGAACAAAACCATCCGATTTTGTAATTGAATATTCCAAAATCATTGTCTTATACATATACATGCACTTGCACAAGGTCAATTTCTATCTCTAGCAGTTTAAAGTTTATATAGTGAAGATGATAATGTATAACAGGTTTTAATAAATGAAACATAGCATTATCTTGTTAGTCTTCCTACAGACAGATTGATCTGTAAAACAAGTAATTATTTTTTTATTTTTTTTATTTTTAGGTTGTTATAATGATGATGTTTTCATGGTGTTGGGAGTAAGACTTGGATGTCTGATATTGTTAACATGTTGGTAGGTAATCAAGCATCTTTTTAGTAATATAATATTTGAAATCAATTTCATAAGGTTCTTTAGTACCAAAAAAATAATTTTACACTGATGAGATACCGGTTGAATTTTTTTGGTAAATATAAAACTCAGTTTATAATTCAGAATACCAAATATTTTTTCCATGATTTTTTGTTATCCTAGTGCAATTTTAAATTTAGTACATGTGTAATAATTTTTTTTAGGAAAGTTTAGTATAACTGACTACTTTTATATTGCAGGTTAGCATCAGGTTTCAATTGGGTTACTTGCTGGGATAAAGCTGTTATAAGGTGAGAACTTATTCATCATCATACAACTTTAATGTGTTTATGTTATAGTGTGATGAATGTCACTAAATAGATTTCAATATATATATTTTTTTTTAATTTACAATTAAAAAAAATCAGTATTCAATCTTTTCATTTTAAAATAATGTACCCTTTAAAGCAGGTACTAGATCTTAAGAAGATATATGAAGGGGAGATAACAATAAAATCGGATATTTTTGATACTATATATTTTTGAGTAATCATTAGTAGTTTAACATACACTGATGTCTGTTTCTTTATTCCCGTTAGATTATTTTAAAATTAAGGATCAACAATTGAAATTTAACTTTGTTTCTTTTTCAGTCGAAAGAGTTGCTGTTGCTGCCTTCCTTGTATGGTAAAATCCTCAGACTACAATCCTGCAAACCATTGGATGAACTGTTGCTATCTTTTGTAAAAAAAATCAGTAGATATTTGTCTTATAAGCAGAATGAATTATAAATGCATTTAATTTTTAATGCTTTATTATTCAAATTATAAATATTTATTTCATTATTTTTTCTTGCATTCATTTATTGTTTTGTGATTGAAGAAATATAAAAAAAACTGTGAAATTATTGTTATTTGAGAGGTCCCAAAGGTATGATGTATGGTTTCACAAGATACCCATAAGACTTGCTTCAGTTTACATATATTTTTTAAGTTATGTACACTGGTTAAGAATTATAAGTCCTTTGTGAAATGATTTTTTCTGGTTAGAAACCTATTAAGTAGGACTTTGATGGCCAAACACTAAAAGGGAATAAAACAAATCCCCTATTAAACAATTTAAGTACTGAGTTTTTGGTGCAATATGAACTAGAAATAAAAATGTTTTGTTAGATGGTTTTTTTTTACTCTGCATTCTTTACATTCATACAAATTAATGGCTGTCAGTTTTATTTATTGGTTTTGTTTATATACTATAAATGCATTACTCAGCATCTGAGACCACTCAAGTGAAAATAATTACATTGTTTTTGCAGTTTGTCATATTTTCTCATTTTTGTGTGATTGATTTCTATATTTTTTCTCATTTATGATTATTTATATTTTAATGTTTGATTTTTGAGGCTTGTACTCAGCTTCTAAACAATTACCTCCCCCCTCCACATGTATAACCAGGATCCTGTAAAAGAAGTTTTAATTTTGAAGGATGGATGGATAATTAAAAATGCAAGATTTTTTTAATGTACTAGTTCATAATGTAAAAGTCTGCACAAGACATCTAACCCTACCTGAGCACATTATTCTGACTTCCAGCAGACCAGTCTTTGCTCCTACTCCTAATTGCTGAATGCTTAGCAGGGGAGCATCAAATACCAATTTTCAATTCTTTGATATGACCCAGGGCAGGACCAAATCCCATGCCCATCTGCACTTATGTTGAGCATAAAAAGGTTATTAAAGAAGATTTGTCTGTCTGTTTGTCCATCATAATCTCTCATCCACAGCTTATAAACTATTGGAAGGTTTTCATTTAAACTTTCAGATTATCTTCTGTATCTAATGGCTGTGTTTATTTTATTTTATTATAATGAAATTTTGGGGTTCTCAATTGTAATGTATGGACCTCCTAAGTATTTGAAAAAAAAGGGAAAGAAGCTTCTCATACTACCATTTTATCATGTGAAGGATAGGTTGGTTCAAATATATTTGTTTTTAATCATGTTTTTAGTAGTTGGATCTCATTATGACAAAATTTTAACGACTTAAATTCAAAATAAATTTGGGGTTCACACTGATATATATTACCACTGTAGCTTTAATGTAAATTTTATAAGGCTTTGCTATAACAAGATTTGTGTTTTATCTTGTTTTATCTGATTTTACTGGTTTTTATGTGATTTTGTTTGTTTTTACTGTCAAATCTTGTTATACCAAGCCTTAGTATGATTGAGTTTATATATTTTGCAATACATGCAATTCAAAATATATATAAATTTACATAATGAGATCAGACATTTATTATGCTTTTAACTCTTCTTAGTGGATAAAATAGAAAAATGAATAAACATAAATATTGAAGTGGTCCTTGAAGATTGACCAAATTACAAGATTTATAAATGCAGAATCTTGCTCTAACTAAATCTATGTTCTTATCAGCTGAACCAACCTATCCTTCGATATGAGTAATAAAATTTTATAAATGGAAAAGTCCATTCTTCGATTGGGGAACCTTTGGATGTGAAAAAAATATACACAATGCCAACAGATACTGAAGATTATTTGAAAGTTTAGGCAAAAACAATTCAATCCTTTAATTGTGATTGGAAGTTGTAGACGGATGAGCAAACAGATGATATACTTGCTTACTATGGTACATTTCCTAAAGGATATGGACTATGAGTATAGGTTTTGCTCATGGTTGAAGGCTGTAGGTGACTGATAGTTGTTAAATTCTATGTCATTTGGTCTCTGGTGGAGAGTTGTCTCGTTGGCAATCATATCTCCTCTTTTTATTTTATATGAAATAATTACTTATTACTTCCTGGGCAAAAAGTTCTGGTTCCAAGAAAATAATTAAAAAAAAATACTTATATCATACATGTATTGTTAAATAACTATCCTACTTTGATATAAAGAATTGACTTTGGTTAGAAATTGGGAGGAATTATAAAGAAACTTTATATACAATATAAGAGCTTGGGGTTATAAATGTTTAATGAAATGCAGTTATCTATTTCCTTGGTGATCTAATAATTTTTGCACAGATCACGATATTAGTTTATTTAAATACCCCAGTAAATTGAGTACACCTCATAAATGAATTTGATTCAAGAATTTTTATGCATTTTTTATCTTAGTATTTACCATTGTATTCCTTGTTATATTTGTAAATGCCTCTTCGTATGTGACAAACTGAGGATTCATATATTTTATGGAATTATATAAATTTATTTTAAGTTTGGTATTTAAAAGTATTGGAAAGCACCAAGTTTAATATTGAGCAAAAAAAATATTCCTTTAAGACCTAAGGATATTAAAATTTAAGACATGTATCTCAGAACAGAATTGATTTTCTGAATTCTATTTAAACAGCTAGTCTGGGAACTGGTATCAAGAAACTAAAAAGAATCCTCAGCTCTGTCAGTTATTTTGTATAATTGTAATATTTAACCAGTGATACCTTACCCATGATGCAGATCCTTTTCCTCCTTTTACTTATAAAGGGACTAAAAACTTATTATTACAATTTCTTTGGTATGTGTACACACTTGATGGAGCAGAATGGGTCTGGTTTCATTTGGGTATTTTATATTATGATGCATGATAATGATATAAATAAATAGGTAAATAAAAATTTAATTGAGAAAACCTATCTCATATTTTATTTGAGTCTGAATGACAAAAAAGGGGGAAGAGGTTTCTGTGGTCCAGGGTAACACACAGCTGATTTATTGTATGGTATGGACGAAGTTGAAAAAGTGAGACTTGGGCATGCTTTTTCCATAAGCAGCAGCTTCAACAATGTATTTGATTGTGATAAGTTCAAGCTCAAGAAAACAACTAGTGGTAGGTCAATGATATTTGATATGCAGTTATATAAGCATTGAAACATCTTATTTCTAAGGAGACTATTTTGCTTCTCTCTATCAGTCATAGTCGACTTAAAACTTTTAATTAGTTTACATGTATAAGTTTGTGATTAGGTCAATTGAAAGGGAACTATAAGTGGTATGTCAATGATATTTGGTATACAGATGTATAAGCATTGACAAATCTCAGTTCCATAGAGATTGTTCAGCTCCAGCCTCAGTCATGGTTTATTGACTGAATGTTTTGCATTATTTACATGTGATTTGTGATTAGATGTTTAAGATGAGTGACTAATATCTGATATTTGGTATGCAGTTGTATTGGCATTTGCAAGTCTCATTTTCATAGATCGATTATTTGGTCCCACTTCCTTATCATGGTTCATGGACTTTGAAACTTTCACAGTTTAACAAGGAACCAATTAATAAGTCAATGGTGTTGGGTATGCAGTTTTATAAGCATTATCATTTCCATGGTGTTTTTATTTTGCCCTGAACCGTCAGTCATGGTTCATTGCATAGATAACAAGTTTAAATATTGCAAGTTAATTTCAACATTTGCATTATACCACCAAAAAACGCAAGACACATCTCTGTGTCAACAGTTTATATTTCCATCTCTCTGTATCTTTCAACATCATGTTTCGAGTTTTAAATGTCACAGAAACTTCTTTGCTAGTTTAAACAAGACTTGACACAAATGATACTTAGGAATTACATGACAGAAATGTTCATTGGACTTGCTGATTACCTGATTGGCTGCCAAGTCTTTAAATAGATCTAGAATTCTAAAATGATCTAGTTTATATAAAGGCTCATCAGATACAAAACACAGGGATAATTTATAGTACCGTGAATGTGCATACATGTATGTGAATTACACTAATATTTATTATGGTTTTAATTTACTGATAATAAAAACAATATTCAAAGATCTAATTACAGTGTTGAATTGGTAACCTTTTGCAATAAGTTTATTTAAAGGATTGATAAGTTTATCCGGAACGTATCTAAATTTCCGGGCTCGGAAAACAACATCCCCGTAAAAATTATGATGTGCTATTTCGTTTGAAATAAGTTTTCTACAAGTACAGCCAAAATTGCAAACCAAATCTTTGTATCTATGGAAGAATTTAGTAAGGGTTTTGAGTAATTTGTGGTAACGAAATTCCTTACTTAATAATTTACCAGTAATTATACACAGATTACTCTCACTGAAATCCAAAACATCACTAAAACACGGGCAAAGCGAACGAGTTGTGATATATAAAAACCGTATAGGACATCGCCGTCCAAAAAAGGAAAATAAAAATCGTCCCTTTTTTCGCAAATCTTAGCGTAGAGTTTCTCGTGTAAAACTAAAATATCTAAATCTTGAATTTATAAATTAAATCGAATTCAAACGGGTCTTTACTGAGTTTGGCCATAAACTGTGATTCATACAGTGCTGGAACAAGTCTGCTATTATAGGGACCAACTTGGTGCCTATAGGAATACCTACAACCTTTCGATAAACTTTATGGCCGAAACGTAAATAAATGTTGTAGAGGAGAAAATTTACAGCTTCAATCATCTCATCACACCTCCAGTAGGTATATCTAGCATATTTACCTTTCTCATTAGCAAAAAAAGGCTTTATATGAGTTGCAGCAAATAAATTTGCAATCAGATGTATCAAACGACAAATAAATTAAATAGGAAATCTTTCGTTTGATAATATTGTGTGGAAGTGTAGTATGAAGAGTCAGTGAAAAGTCAAAACTGTCAACCATCAAAAGCACGTAATTTATCTACAACATCCAAAGATTATTTTACACTCCAAAAATAGTTAATTCCACTATTTTTAAAGGTTTTATTACAAAAATTAATGATGAGTTCTTTGATAGTAGTTAAGGAACTCGTTAAAGCACTGACAGATTAGTAGTAGAACACTTACTAGAAGCGAGATGAAACGATATTTTGTCGGACCAAAATACTTCAAAATTGGTCTTTTCTGCTTCTCCGCTAAAAACGGGGCATTTAGTTCCGAGAATAAAGACTTTTCGGCTCGGAACTAGAACAATTGTTCTGGGTAGGGCGATATGTTTTTATGAGTCTTCCTGTGGATTGTTATCTTGTGTACTAGCTCGTTAAAAAATCCGGGTCAGCTTGTCTGTTTAATAAAATGCGGTTCATAATCATAGCACATCAGCGTCTTCTCGTCCTGATTTGTATGTTCAAGCTGATAAAGAATATAACAATATCTATTCAAAATTAGAAGACAGCTTTCAAATGACCCCCACCGATGCAGAAATTTAGTCTGTCCAAAGGAATACTCATATATATTTATATTGGCTCCTTTGAAACTTTTTCATAAATATGCTTCAAGGAATGTAGAGATCGCTTCCGATGCAATTTTCCATGTAATTTTATTTCAAAGGGGCATAATCCCTGTAAAAATAATTGATCGGTAGTAGTTCAAGACATTGGTGATATAAACCCTTAATATACATTTTCATAAAGATCCTAAGAGAAATTTAAGCTTGAGACCGCTTGCTATGCAATTTTCCATATATCTTATATTTCCAAGGGACATAACTTTTTAAAATGGGTTGTTTGGCACCATCGTTCAGTTCGTACTCGTCCAAGATATTGTTAATATTTACCTTTGATATACATTTTATAAAAATCCTATCAGTAAATTAGACTTGCGATTTTCCATATGTAACTTATAATTCAAGGGCATACCTCATTTAAAAATAGTTGATAGGAACTCGTCCAAAACATTGCTGATACGAGAGAGTGCTTACAAGACAGGACGGATGGACCCATAGATACGATATTTCAAAGGGCATTACTCGTTTAAGAAAAGCCGAATGCTACTGATTTTCGAACTCGTCCGAAAGATTGCCAATATCAACCTTTGGTATAAATTTCATAAAAGTAACAATAATATTGTGAGTGTGAGAGCACATACAATACTGGGCCGACGAACGCACGGACACATGGAAGGACGCTCAATATTTCTACGGCGGGTGACAACACATTACTTAAGTAGATAATTACACACACCATATAACAGACTATCAGTGCGACAGATGCAATTGGAAGCAAATATCAAAATCTGTTGTACACGACTGCAAAATCCATTGTATAGCAATGGCAATCGGAAAAGCAGACAAAACAATGGCAGTCGACAAAATGTGTCGTGCCGATAACCAGTCAAATGATCTGGTACATGCATATCAGACCATATCATGCAGTTCAGGATTTCCGTGACATCTTTTTCGTCGTCTGGTTAACCCTTTAAAAAGAGCAACAAGAAAACAAAATAAGCTACGCAGATATTACAACAACAACAAACATATGCTTCATAGATTCGTTCTTTCTGTAGACTGAGTTAAGTTGTACACACGTTTCTCTGTTTCAATTAGATGTCACAAACGTGCATACACACCACGTGATAAAATTTGTATAATACACTTTGTGATATATATATGTATATGTTATAACATGGCTTCAGGTGAGATCTTTATTCATTGAACTTATACTTATCTTTTATCGCGGTCAATAGTACGTGTAAAACTTTCACACAGCACAATATGCACACACAGTCGTATGTGATATTGCGTAATTGTTAATACGTTTTATGCTTTCTTCCACACTTATATATGATTACTGTCAAAACCTGTATAAATAAACAGGGTATCGTACAGGTAAAATGTACACAGCTGACTGCAAATCTGATTTTGTTACATTGAGTTAAAAATATACACAAATCAAAATGCTCAAGTCACATTCATATATTTGATATTCAGGGTTTACATGTTCGATAAACATGCGCAGAAAATCATGTAACGACTACAACTGTCTGTAAATGTCCCTCGTAGACACTCAGTAGTCCGTCTGCAAGTCAGTCTGGACGTTGTTACTCCGCACTTTCCGGCTTACATCTTTACATGAAGTCACAGCTGTCATTCGGTATATCGAGGAAAATGATCGTGAAAGAATACCTAACGGTGGTCAAGCATTGCGATCGGATCGTGAATGTAATTAATTGTAATTCTACTTCAAAATCTGTGAAATATATGCTGTATTTTCAAAACGCGGAACAAATCCGAATAAAAAATTATGTCTGTCAAAAGGATTCAACTTTCTCAATAATACTGCGTAATAAGATAAAGAAAATATGCAGTACTTTATGAGAAAACACAAAAGGCGCAACACAAGTCTAATAGATTCATTTAAAAAAAATCCTCGTTTCGTACCTATAATGGTTACATTCCAATATATAATGACATATTTGAAAATGAATCTTTGGTGTGTCAGATAGAACAGTGAAATACAAGTTTTTTTTCGCTTGAAGCCGTTCATTTTGTTTTTGAAAACATTGAATTTTTTTGATTTTTTTTATCAATATTGATCGTAAAGATCGGGCAACGCATTATCTTGATCGTGAACGACAAGGCGTGACCAGACGGACGCAGGACGTTTTCGCTATTTTATATGGAAAGCCTCAGCTGTCATATATTAGAGATTTACAAAACGTTATGCTGAAGATTAAAATGTAAAGTTTAGACAGCGTAATGTTGAATTGAGTCATCAAAATGCTAACTCTAAATTACAATATGCGAAGTTGAATCTGCGCAATGTTGACTTGCAATGACAAGTGCTTTAGTCGTGATAGTATAATGATAAGTCACGATGTTGTGATGATATGCCAAACACACGTAACGTTGGGTGTAAAGTACATGATGTGAAGTTGACGTTGCATGATGTTAGCTTGCAGATGGATACTGCTCAGTCATCCACATCGACAGCTATGATAACAAATAAAATGAATAGCTAAAATGTATGGTGCTGACTTGTTATTAATAAATGTTGAGCTGAGATAGTACGATGTTATATCATTGTGATATTACGATTGGTCTATCATGCAATCTGTTGATTTAAAACACCATGATGCACAGTTGAAAGTACATGATGTTAAGTTAAGATAACACGATGCTACATCACTATATTGAAACGATAGGCTTACCATACAATTTGTTGACTTAAAACAACACGATGCAACGTGTTAATCTAAGATGCTCACTTGAAACTACAGGACGTACAGTTGAAATTTTGTAATGTTAAGCTACGATAGTACGATGTTATATCATTGTAATGTCACAATAGGCTTATTATACAATTTGCTCATTTAAAACTACACAACGTACAGTTGAAAGTACGTGATGTTAAGCTAAGATGGCACGTTGTTATATCATTAGAATGTCACGATAGGCTTACCACACGATATGCTCGTTTAAAACTACACGACGTATAGTTGAAAGTACGTGATGTTGAGCTATGATAGCAATATCTTATATCATAATAATATCACGATAGGCTTGCCATAAAATATGCTCATTTAAAACTACACGACGTACAGCTGAAAGTACGTGTTGTTCAGCTAAGACAGCACGATGTTATACCATTATAATGTCACGATAGGCTTACCAGACGATATGCTCATTTAAAACTACATGATTTTCAGTCGAAACTAGATGATGTTAAGCTAAGATAGCATGTTTTTATATCATTTGAATGTCACGATAGGCTTACCATACAATATGCTCATTTAAAACTACACAACGTACAGTTGAAAGTATGTGATGTTGAGCTATGATAGCACGATGTTATATCATAATAATATCACGATAGGCTTGCCATACAATATGCTCAGTCAAAACTACACGACGTACAGTTGAAAGTACGTGTTGTTGAGCTAAGATAGCACGATGTTATATCATTATGACGTCACGAGAGGCTTATCATACAATGTGTTGACTTGAATCTACAAGATGTAAATTTGAAGTAGTTTGGTCTTGACTTGAAACAGTAAAATGTTAAGTTAAAAAAACAGAACGTAAAGTCAAAATAAAACAATGATAGGATGACATATACTTGTGCAGAATTGAAGATTTTTGGTGTTGACTTCGAATATAGTACAAATATTAGATCGTTTTATGTTAAATTGAAAGACAATAATGATGCGTAAAACATTACAGAATTATGTGAATTGAAACTGCAATTCTATGGAAAAGAATGAGGGACAAATCCCCAGGATTTTTTCTTCTTCATTTGCAAGTTCGGAGGCAAAATGATATACAAAGAAAGTTTTCCATAAATTCATAAAGCAAAAGATTTACCCATCGCTATGTATTATTTTTACATGTTTTGTTTGAATTTTTTTTTATGATTAAAAACCAGACTTTTTTTATGAACAATATTTAAGAAAATATTTATCTATGTTGTGTGTTAATATATACAACATAATATTGTGCTTATAAAACTTCGGTTATGACTGTGAGGGGGTCAAATTTTACTCATATAAAATCACATCTATGTAAGAGTTAGCGGAGAATTTGTATTTACCACTCCCGTTTTCCACGAAATAAAACATAAGAATCTGGAGTCTTAATCTTAAAAAACAAAGATCAACTGATATGACAAATAATACGATTAGCGTTGGACTGAGATGGTCAGAGCTATATCAGAATGTGACCCCCCCCCCCCTTGTCTTGTAACAAATAAAATTGAGAATGGAAATGGGGAATGTGTCAAAAAGACAACAACCCGACCATAGAACAGACAACAGCAGAAGGTCACCAACAGGTCTTCAATGCAGCGAGAAATTCCCGCACCCGGAGGCGTCCTTCAGCTGGCCCCTAAACAATTATATATACTAGTTCAGTGATAATGAACGCCATACTAAACTCCAAATTGTACACAAGAAACTAAAATTAAAAATAATACAAGACTAACAAAGGCTAGAGGCTCCTGACTTGGGACAGGCGCAAAAATGCGGCGGGGTTAAACATGTTTATGAGATCTCAACCCTCCCCCTATACCTCTAGCCAATGTAGAAAAGTAAACGCATAACAATACGCACATTAAAATTCAGTTCAAGAGAAGTCCGAGTCTGATGTCAGAAGATGTAACCAAAGAAAATAAACAAAATGACAATAATACATAAATAACAACAGACTACTAGCAGTTAACTGACATGCCAGCTCCAGACTTCAATTAAACTGATTGAAAGATTATGTCTTCATCATATGAATATCAGGCACAATCCTTCCCGTTAGGGGTTTAGTATCATACCTTCATAACATATATGAGAAGAACATAACCCGTGTCATGCCAACAACTGGTTTTTAAATAAATGTGTTTAGTGCCGATGCAAAGACCCTATAAGTGAATCAGTATTAACGCCAAAATATGCAATCTTTAATGACCTGACAACAGTATCGTAACTATATCCCTTCTTAATAAGTCTATTTAAAGGTTTTGTTAGCTTCAGAGGTGAATACTGACATTTTTGTGCTTTATAAAGAATATTTCCATAAAAAATTGGATGTGAAATACCTGAACGTATAAGAAGTCTGCATGTTGAGACCAGACTCAAGCTAGCGACCAATTCTAGCGACCAATCAAGCTAGCGACCAATTCTAGCGACCACTAAAGAACACAATGAGAATCAACTTGTCTAAGAATCATTATGTGGTATATGAGAAAACCACAAAACCACATTATGAAACAACGTTCTGTTAAAAAGAAAATCCATCTACCAGTACGGTATATATATTGTTTTTTAACGTTTAAATGACCAGAAATGTCCATCAAATTAAGGGAGAAGGGACACTACAATACGAATGACGTCTGTAGCTGAATGCACTAACTAGTTTGGTTGCTAAATGTCTGCATCAATATCAATGAGTAAAATATAACGTGCCAGAAAATCGTAAAAGTCAAAACAATTTAATACAATAGAAAAACAAAGGATATGGGGTATCCCTCCATGACACAAAATCAGTAAATGCACAGCGAAAAACACACAAAAAGCTAAGGAACATTCTTTGTGAACGAACTATTTTTATTCCCCTACATTCGAACACATACTATATGTTATCATATATGTATTTATATAAATAGAGGTGCGCCCCTCTCCGGAGTTTATTCAATCGGGAGAGGGACTAGTTGGGAAATAAAGTAATCCATATTTTGACGTCTTCTTTACGTTTTCTCTGTTTTCTAAACTCTAAACCGAGATCGCAAAGATAAATTAATTATTGTAAACAAAATATTAAAAACGGAGCGTATATCCTCCAAGCACATAATGGCTATACAATAGTACTTTGCGGTTTAGAAATCAGAATAAAAAGCTAAAGAGTTTTAAGAATTTGAATAATAATAAAAAAAAAAACAAGAGTGTTTATTTATGATGATTTGCTCGCACAATCGTTTTCAATATTCAGTGAACCGTAAATAATTTAAAAAGTACATATTTTAATGAACATGTGTACCTAGTTTCAAGTTGATCTGACTACAACGTCATCTTAGACTAGATTCAACACAAACGTCATTCTAATGCAGTATGAATGGACGGACAAACGGACAAACGAATTAACGAACGAACACAAAAAACAGATAATATTATGGGTTTTACTGTCGTAGGCGGAGCATAGAATAACTATTCAC